CGTCCTTGTCGTGCTCGACGATTGATTTTGCGGTGACCTTCAGCTTGCAAATGTCACGCTCCCACACTGGAATCACGATGGTCCAGGCAACGCCAAGGCGGGTCGCCACTGGGGGGTGGCCCTGGCCACCGCCAGAGGGGAAGCAGGGTCCCCCCACACCTCACACAACCATCCAGAGCTGATAACTCCTCCTCCTTGGTCCTCCTGGACCCTCGATCCAGAGGACCCCGAAGACCTCCAGCGATAATCGAGCACCGACAGCAGCAAAAACAGCAGCGCGCGACCCGTCCCCTCCTCCCCCTCGATGCTCCTCAAGCGAACGTGCTGGCTCGTCGGACCCCTGGCGTCGTGACTCCTCACGCTGTGGAGACCTGGAGGTCCTGACCTCTCGGCTTGGAGGTGGACTGCATCAGGGATCTACCCCAGGGGTGCTATTCCCGTCGAACCTGCAACAACACACCCAGAACGCTCCGCAGATCTGCGGATCAGGCGTTTTTGACCGCGCAGCTTCGACGAGGGCATGAACTCTGGGGTGGCTCGACTCTGCATTTTTGAAGGGGCCCCAGGACACACAAATAATTACACACAAATAAAAATATTCCCCACATTTTCCTATATTTTCTGGGTGCGGCCCTGGGGCCCCACTGAGGCGACCCCCCCGGGTCGTTGCCTGCATGGTCGGCCGGTCCCAGGCCTTGGGGCAACACCCTTCGCAGGGAGCCAGGCTGGTCGTGGCGTCTGCCGCGGCCGCGGTCGCGGCGTTGGCCGAGGTATTGCTTGATGCCATCTCCGAGGAGCGCGACCTCGGCACACACGGATCAGGGATCAGGAGGACTGCGGGGGGGGGGCAGGCGGAGGAACGACGTGGGCAAAACAAAGGAGCTCAGCATTTGCTCCCAATATTCCTGTGACGGGTTTTCCATGTTGAATGGAGCTCTGTCGTGCAGCCTTCCTTCCCTCCCGCTTCCCGCTTGCCCCCTTCTCCCTCTTACCTCCCCCCACCTTCTTTCTATCTCGCCTTCCCCGGGGGCCTGGGAACTGCGAATACGTCGCCACGTTTGTCAGTGCCTCGGAGGCTCAGCGAAGCACAGTCCGACCCGCAACAAAATTAGACATCGCCCTCTGTGGGGGCTGCAAACTGCGCAAGTGACCGCACTTTCGTGAGCGCGTTTTGGGGGTCCTGCGAGGCGCGGTCCCACCCTGATCAGCATTCGACCTCGCAGCCATGGGTGTTGCCAACTGTCCAACTGTGTCCACTTCTCTGAGCGCCTGAAGGGGTCCAGCGCAGGTCCTATCCAGGTTATTTCAACCTCGCCTCCCCAGGTTCTGCCAACTTCGCGACCGTCGCCACCTTTGTGGAACCCTGGGAGGTCCAGCGTAGAGCAGCCCCTACCCTGATCAGAATTCGACCTCGCCGTCCTTCTGGGCTGCGAACTGCGAAATTGTCGTGGGCTTCTGGGGGTACAGACTAATACGGTCCCACCCAAATCTGAACCACGCTTCGCCCTTCCTGAGGGCTGCAAACTGCGAATCTGCCGCCACGTTCGACGTCTCCTGGGGGTCCAGTTGAATGCGATCTGACCCAGGTCAGGACAAGCCTCGCGGCTCCTTGGGGGGCTGCAGACAGCGATCATGTCGTCACGTTCGAGAGCTCCTGGGGGTCCTGCTGAATGCGGTTCACCCCAGACCAGGAATCGACCTCGCCGCCTCTGGCTGCGGACTGAGAAACTGTCGCCATGTTCGTAGACTCCTCGGGTGTCCAGCTTGGTACGGCCCTACCCAGATCAGGATTAGAACTCGCCCTCCCTGAGAGCTGCGAACTGTGTCATCACGTTCGTGGACTTTTGGAAGGTCCAGAGGTTTGGTTTCCTGCACGGGTCGAAGAGAGTCCTCGCCCCCCACGGGGGGATTGCCAAACTGCGAAACCGTCGCCACCTTCGTGGGCTCATGGGAGGTGTAAGCGGACTGGCGTCCTTTGTTTTCGTTGCCGTGTGCGTCTACGTGGTTCCCTCTTGCTCTCTTGCCATGCCATATCCTAAAGCGCTGCCTCGCTCCAACTTGCCTGATGAGTCGAGATACGCGCCTGAAACTTACCAAACAAGTGCTGTGTCATCATCCGTGAAACACACCGCCCACTGCTATGGCACATGTCGCCAATTGATTGGGTACGCCGCCAGGGGGACAAGGACCTGGGTTCTGCCTGTAGGAGGTTGGTCGGGCTAGGTGTCTCACCTTTGGGCTTCTGACGGGGGGAGGGTCTGGTCAAAGGTTTGCCCCCCATGTGGCATCGAAGGCATCAGAAGATGATGAAGGGGGGATGGTGGGAAGAACGTGATCGGCGAGGGCCAGGAGGACGACGGTGGAAGAGGAGAGTGAAGAGGAGGAGGAGGAGGAGGAGGAGGAGGACGAGGAGGAGGAGGAGGAGGAGGAGGAGGAGGAGGAGGAGGGAGGAGGAGGAGGAGGAGGAGAGAGGAGGAACATCGCGGTCGGGATCGGGCTCGTGGAATTCAAGTCTGCTCGAAACTACCGCACGAGTGACGGGCATGAGCTGCGCCGTGCGAGAACTCTGAGCGGCGCCGCAGGCGGCCCCCGCTCTCGGACAGAACCGCACCGCCCCCATAGGGGGGAAAACACGCCCTTCGGGTGCGCAGCAAGAGGGGGTGGAGAGAAAGGAGGAGGAGAAGGAGGAGGAGGAGGAGGAGGAGGAGGAGGAGGAGGGGGAGGAGGAGGAGGAGGAGGAGGAGGAGGAGGAGGACGAGGAGGAGGGTTCTTGGGACTGCTCTTGGGGGCGGTGGTTCGCGCGGCGCGCCCCCCCCCCGTCCCCGACGTCCCGAGCAGATTCAGCAGGCTCGGGCGCGGCGCGCGGCCTGTCCGCGCCTCCGCGAGTGCCGCGGCCCAGCCCGCAGCAGGCAACAACCCACGCCGCCTCTCGGCCGCTCTGGGGCAGCATCCACTGTCTGCATTGGCTGGTCGAGGAGGAGGATGATGATGATGAGGAGGAGGAGGAGGAGGAGGAGGAGGAGGAGGAGGAGAAGGAGGAGGAGAGGAGGAGGAGGAGGGAGGAGGAGGAGGAGGAGGAGGAGGAGGAGGAGGAGGAGGAGGAGGAGGAGGAGGAGGAGGAGGAGGAGGAGGGGGAGGAGGAGGAGGAGGAGGAGGAGGAGGAGGAGGAGGAGGTGGAGCGTAGCCGAAAGGCGAGTACGATTACACAGGAGATCTTCCGCCCGCCACCAAGTGGCGAATGAGCGAGGGCGACAGCCCCTTAAATAATAACCTCAACGAATAAGGAGTACAGGATGGGGAAGAAAGTGCTGAGAAGGAATTTGATCAACAAGCTGGATCTATGAAGCCGTCGCGGAAGAGGGACGCGACGTGCGTAGTATAACTGGCAGAGCGAGACAAACAGGACGTCGCGATCACATCAATCAACGTCGGGCTCTGGCGGCAATTCCGTCTCCATCGGATCGCCGAATAGCCCAGCCAGAATGAAGTCCTGAACCTCCTCCGCCTCGGCGGCGTCGACAATGTCATCGAACCTGCCGTAATCTATGGGGCGCGCGTTTAGCGTGATCTGATGAGGGCGGCCAGGCGACGTCGCAGGCCTACCGCCATGAACCCGTGCGCTTGCGGCAGTGGCCTGTCCCTCAGGATGGCGAAAGATGCAATCGCTCCTCTTGCACTGTCGACCGTACCGGCACATCGGAAGCACGGGAGACCGGGCCCGATCCGCCGAGCAGGCAAGGCCAGTAGCAGGGGGCCGCTTCTCCACCTCACGGGTAGCGCCCAAGGCCTCCACGCGCGCGGTGAGCTCAAGGAACTGCGTTTTGAGCACTTCAAGCTGCGATGCCACCACATCCTTCACCATCTGCTCGACGCCCTCCAGCTCTGCACCATCGCCGCCCCGTTGAGGCGTACCAGCAGATGACGCAGCGCGGGCCGAGTACTCGGAAACACGCGAAGCTACTGCATCAAACATCTGATCCATCCTGGGCACGATTGCGGCCTCAATGGCCCCAGGCAGAGTGGCCCCCAAAATATTTGAAACAACATCGCCCATCGAGCCGCTGAGCGACTTGGTCACCGAGGGGACAATCTCCGTCAAAGCACTGTGGATCCTTCTGTCAATGAGGTTGGGAACAGCATCGAGCTTGGCCGCAATGGCTACAATCTCAGGGTGCCCTGAGTCTACCATGGCCCTGGGCGAGGGGCAACATGAAGCGGCCGCCGATCCAGAGGACGTCTCGCTCACAATGTCCGCCGAAGGCTCGCCAGAGTCCGTCTCAGAGGCCTTACGCGCATGGGAATAAGAATCAATGATGCCTTGGAGTGCTGCAATAGACGAGTTTTGCGACTCCACCAGCCCCTGATATGCTATCAGCTGCGAGTCATACAGGAACTTCGCCTGCTCGAGGATGACAGGCACGGCCGCCAACGGTTCCACCTGCGGCATGGCGAAAGGAGCAGCATCTCTGTTGAGCGCCGTCCCGACAAGGCCACTCCGCTGCGTCACGTTGCGAGAGAACCTCGGCGCGCATACAGGCTTCGAGCTGCGCCGCCCGGGAAATGCTCCTACCAACTCCTGCTCAAGGGCCTCGAAAAAACCATCTTCCCACTGCTCCGTATGATGACGTACCACTTGATATGCAATGCCAACTTGTTGAAGCCGCCGGCGCATTCCCGATGATAGGACCCGGCGATTGGCATGCGCAGCCATCTGGAGCCCATTGAAGTGCTTGCCCGAATAATTGGCCAGCAGCCGCAAGGCCCGACCAGCGACAAACGAAAGAATCCCATTTGCTTCATCCATTCTGCAAGCACACCAAACTGCAGTTTCGCAACGAAATAAATAACAGCCGCGTGTGATGGCTGGGCAGAGAAGCGCGAGCCACGCAGAGCAAAACCTGAAAGCCGTCTTGAGCCCAAATGGCTACGGAAGGAGGAGGAGGAGGAGGAGGAGGAGGGGGAGGAGGGGGAGGAGGGGGAGGAGGACAGGGAGGAAGACATCACGGGGCGAACTTCCCAGTGCTCGGCCGGGCCAGTCTCGGGCGCGCGGCGATTGCGACAACGGCCCCCTCCTCCCCTTCCTTCAACCTCCACGGCCCTCCCCCACGCTCCTCACCCTCTCGCACCTGCATAACTGACTGCCTACAAGACCACCCCAACCAAACCCGAAGACCCAATCGGGTGGAAGGGGTACGGTCTGGGGAGGGCACAAAATGCCGATACCGCCACTCCTCAGACCTCTCTCGGGATGCGCTCTGGCCCGAATCCCGAGGCGAAGCCGGCCGTGGTGGCAAGGGCCTCCCGGGAGGCCCCAACGAGCCAGCACCCTGGAGCTCCCACCCGGCGCACAGGCCACGACCTCGCGGCCGCCCACTCCAGCAGGTGCCCGCCCCCCCCCTGAGGCGCGGGCGACCGCTCAAGCCCCGGGTCGGGCGCGGGCGTCGGCGGCTCGGCGCCCGAGGTCGGCGCGTCGTACACGCCTCCCCCCGCGCCAAAGCCATGGGTGCCTCGATCCCCGTGCTGCTCCAGCGCTCCCTCGGGGGTGTCCAAGAGGGGGGCGTCGAAGAGGAGGGGGCGCAAATCGTGGCCGGCGGCATGTGCGCGGGGACGTAATGAAGTAAGAAGCGCCATGAAATCTGGGGAGATATCATGGCCCCCAACGTCTGATGCGTCCACGCATGCAAGCCTCAGCGGCAAGGAGGAGTCGAAGCAGCAGCGGCCATCACCGACGCTCGCTGTAAGCATCGAGAGAGGCGCACAAATAGGCCACATCGGACTCCTCCCCCTTCTCCCCCTCCCCCTCCCCCTCCTCCTCCTCCTCCTCCTCCTCCTCCTCCTCCTCCTCCTCCTCCTCCCTCCCTCCTCCTCCTCCTCCCCTCCTCCTCCTCCTCCTCCTCCTCCCTCCTCCTCCTCCTCCTCCTCCCTCCTCCTCCTCCTCCTCCTCCTCCTCCTCCTCCTCCTCCCTACTCCTCTCCCTCAAATACTCTCCCTCTTCCCCTGATGGCGTCCGGGTGATGGCCGCGCACCCTCCGCGTACTGTTTTTTTACACACAGGATCCCGGGAAATCCCGGGAAACGACTCTCGCTGAGGCGCCGGCGTCATTTTTTCCCAAAATGCTGCTCTCGTTGAGGCGCCGGCCTCATTTCTGCTCCCGAATCGTTCCGAATCGTGCTCCCGCTGCAGCGTGGGCCTCATTTTCGGATCGGTGTTTGGCCTCCGTCGTTCAGGATGGCGTTCTCGCCCCAGCGCGGGCCTTTTTCTCGCGCGCCCATCCGCCCGCCACCACCGCGCCGCACCGCCACCACCACCACCACCACCACCACCACCACCACCACCACCACCACCACACCACCACCACCACCACCACCACCACCACCACCACCACCACCACCACCACACCACCACCACCACCACCACCACCACCACCACCACCACCACCACCACCACCACCACCACACCACCACCACCACCACCACCACCACCACCACCACCACCCAACCACCACCACCACCACCACCACCACCACCACCACCACCACCACCACCACCACAACCACGCACACACGCACGCACGCACGCACGTGCACCACCACCCACTACGCACGCGCGCGCGGAGCCACAGGTCCGCTACGACACGCGTCCGCGGATAGAGAAAATCAGCGCCATGGTAAGGGATGGGAGGGAGGGGTAGGACGTCAGATATGACGCGAGCGCACCTAGCTTGTCCCCCTCCCCCTCCCCCTCCCCCTCCTCCTCTGCCCCGACGGGCCCGCCCCGCCGGTAGAGCAGATGGTCTGCCTGTGCCCGCTCGGGCCCTCGATGGCGCAGACCCCGTCGGAGGTCACCGCCGCGGCCTCCCGACGTCTCCGCCGGAGGGGGGAAGCAGCTTCCGGAGCTCGAAATAATGGGGGGCGGGAAGGGGGGAAAGGGGGGGGGGCTTCCCTGACCGTCCAGGAGGGCTAAAAAATAGCACCCGACCTAAAAACCTATCCCAAAGCTATTGTACGTCTTGGATTTAGGCTGCTTTGCTCAGTTTTTTTGGTTTTTAGGCCTCCAGTGCTAAAAAATAGCTCTCTGGAAGGTCAGGGTTGTGGCTGGGGAGTTCCAAAGGAGGTGGGGGGGTACCTTGCGGAGGCTGCGGGGGGAAAGGGGGGAGGGGAGGGGGGCTTCCGGCTGGGGAGGCTCCAGGGGGGGGGGGGGGGGGGAGGGAGGCGCCGAGCGGCGCCCCTGGAGAGACTCGGGGCCACTGGCGCGCCCGAGTGGAAAGTGGACCAGGGATGGGGAGGGATTTGAGGTCGACCCTCCATCAGCCAGATGAGCCAGGGGGCGAGTGGCGAGCGGGCCTGCAGCGAACTTGAGGCGAGGCCCTCGGACTGCCAGCGCTGACCCCAGAAGAGGTCGAACATGACAAGTTCCCAAACAACGCGCCCTACGAGCAGCAAAAGTGAAGAGGCGGGTCGTGGAGTAGGAGGCCGGCTACTGAAAACGTGCGTTGCTGCGTATTCCTAAGAACTCCTTGGCGTGACAAGGGTGAAAATACGGCAATGTGCACCGTAGTGTATTCTTGGTAAGGAACCGTGGCCGTGTGACAAGTTGAGAACACGGCTATGTGCACCGCAATGTTCACGTTGACAAAGGATTGTGGCCGTATGACAGTGGTGAGAACACGGCCATGTGAACCATTCTGATTTCTGTTGCAATGAACCGTGGCCGTGTGACAGGGGTGGGAGCACGGCCGAGTGCACCGCAGTGTGCTTCTTGCAACAGATCGTGGCCGTGTGACAGGGGCTGGAGCGTGGCCGTGTGAGCCGCAACATGTTATGCCACAGGGGACCGTGGCGATGCGACCGGGGTGCGGGCACGGCCATGCGCACCGTGGTGTGCTCTTGAGCAGGGATCGCGGCGGCGTGTCAGGGGTGAGGCACGGCCATGTGCATCGCAGTGTCTTTTGCTCACCAGGGATCGTGGCCGTGCGACAGGGGGGAGAGCACGGCCACGTGCACTGTAGTGATATCTCATCAGGGGTTATGGCCGCGTGACGGGGGTGAAACACGGCAGTGTGCACCAATAGTGCGCTTGTTCACCAGGGCTCGTGGCCGTGGGCCGGGGGCGAGAGCACGGCCACGTGCACCGTAGTCCAAGTCGTACCGAGGGAGCGTGGCCGTGCGACAGGGGCGAGAGCACGGCCACAGGAGCCGCGGCGATCCGATGTTGGTCACAAGGGATCGCGGCCGCCCGGACCAAGATTGCGGTATGCATTGGGGCGAGAGCACGGCTCCCGAATGAAACGTGAGGAAGTCTCGGGCGGAACGCCCGCCCGCACCTGGCGCTCTCGGGCCCCCCGTCGCCCCTGTCGGACTCCTCTCTGGTCCTTGGTTACCTCCGTTAGAACTCCGTGTCGAAACGCTGTGAAGAAACACGCGTCCAAATCCGCTGTGGCCCCAGCCTTTTTGGAACGACGGCCGCGTTGCAACTCAGGCCACGGAGTGTTGTGTGAGACGGCTGTGTGGAGATCGCACTCTTTTTGGCAAAGATGGCGATACGGCCCCCTGACGGGAACTAACAGCACATGTGGCGAACGCAATCAGGGATGATGGAAGACAGAGGGGGTGGGGGGTGGGGGGAGAGGAAGAACGGGGAGCGGACCTGGGGAGACGAGGCAGCAGGATGGTCTGCAGGATCAGGGCGGGTGCGGGTCCCTGGCTCGCTCTCCTCGAGACCGCTCTCCCCAGGCCACCGCCCTGCGCATCTGCACGAGCCATCGCCAGCACCCCCGATGGACGCTTGCCGGAGAGGCGCCCCCCCCCCCCCGCCCCCCCCCCCACACACCGCGGGGCAGCCGCCTGGGCGCGGGAGGGCAAAACCAACTCGATTCGATGAGCACTGCACCGAGCACAAGTCGAGGAACGGGACCCCTTCCATGGCGTGCGGGGCGTGCCGGGGGCGGCGCTGGGGGCGCCACCATGGGGGCCCGGCTCGGCGCCAATCCAAGAAATCCTCGTGGAGGTCCAACGATCTATGGTCATGCAGTTTTTCGTCTTCGAACGCACACGCACCCCTTGACCAATACGCCTGGGCACGCTCGGGAGAGCCGGAGTGCAGCCCCCGGCAGCTCGGCTCTGCAGTCATCGTCCGCAGCGCCCCCTCTCCATATCCCTTGTGCTCCGCCACTTCAGCTGGCAGCTGTCGCCCCGAATGCGCAAGCGCGGGCTGCCCCCCCCCACCTCCAAAACAGGGACGGCCACACACACAATCGACCGAGCACTGAAGCAGACATGCTGATTGTGGTGAGCTCGTGGTCATTCAGCAACTTAGCACTGGACAGGGTGGTACACAGGTAGTTTGAAATGGTTTGTCCGCTGTCCCTTTTACAAGGACACGGTTTCCATGCTTCGGTCTGATTGAGCACGTACTGTCAGTACCCCTAACATGCCCCTCCCTGTCCTCTGCGGAGCCCAAACTAGTGCCAGCCGCCATGCACGAGAAATAGTCGGTGATATTGTTCATTCCTCCTGGCCCCGGTCATCTCGGGCTGGCAACGATACCAACGAGGCGTTGCACGAGCAAAACACTGTGACGCGAAAGGCAGTAACAATATTCGCGGCGAGCAAGCGACTCAAGAGCTTCTCCTCTTCACCTTCATAGTAATCCTCCCCATTCCTCTCCCTCATCGTCCCCTCCTTTCTCATCATCCAGATCCTCCTCCCCATCCGCATTTATCCCCCTCCTACTTCTCATCATTCGTCATCACCAACATCATGGATCACCAACTTCCCCTCCCTCCACCTCCCCCTCCTTCTCCTCGCCCATCCTCCACATTCTGCCATTTCTCCTCCCCACATCCCCCACCGCCTCCACCGACCTCCCCCTTCCCGCTTCCTCTCACGCACGGCCCCGACCGGCACAGAACCATTGAGCTCATCCGCAACACTCACCCCCTCCAGGTGAATCTGGTCCAGGCCGCCACTGGTCGTCAGCCCCAGGCCACCTGTTTTCGCGTCCTGCGCCACGCGACGCGTGATGCTGGCACTCAAGGGTTCTGACTTCGGTTGCCGAACTACTTGGGCGGGTTGTGGCCCGGTTCTGCCTGGTGCCCGGGCGGTGCCCAGTTCCGATTCCTGCCCGCCCGCGGGCGCCTCGTAGGCGCCCCGCGTGCTGGCAGGTGTGATGAGGCTTCGCCCGTTGTCTGCTTGGTGCCCGCAGGTGACCGCCTCGTGGGCGCCACCTGCGCTGGGTGGCGGCGACGGGGTTTCGCCTGGTGTGTCTGGCCGTGGCCGCCTCGTGGGCAACAGCGGGCACCACCCAGCTTGCACCGCCTGGCTCGCACCAGGTAGCCTGCACCACCTAGCTCGCCCACACGTGCTCCATTCGACTTGCAGCGCATGGTTTGCACCACATGACCTACCCCGCATAGCAGACAGCACATAGCTTGCACCACATAGCTGATATTACATAGCTCAAGTTACACTGGCGTGCACCACATACAATACACCACATGGCTTATGTTTCATGTATTATGCCGCAAGTTATGCCACACATATTGCGCAACCCAATTTGCACCGCATAGCTCACACTACATAGCATACAGAGCCAGAATCGAACAACTGTGTCTGGGGCCCTCGCGGTCGAAACATTGCTTACTGCTCGTCAGGGTGAGTGGGCCGAACGCTCATTCTTTGTTCCTCGGCGCGTGGCGGAAGTAGTGGGGATCCGCGGGGAGGATTCTGCTTGCTGTTGTCGTCGTCGTCGTCGTCTTCGTCGTCCCCCCGACCCGCCCGCGACCCACCCCACGACCCACCCCGCGGTGACCCACCCGCGAAGCACCCCGCGAACCACCCCGCGACCCACCCCGCGACCCACCCCACGACCCACCCCACGACACACCGCGCGACCCACCCGCGACCCACCACGCGACCCACCCCGCAACCCGGCCGTGACCCACCCGCGAAGCACCCCGCGACCCACCCCGCGACCCACCCGCGACCAATACGCGAACTGGCTCGCGGCCCACCCGCGACCCACCCGCGACCCACCCCGCGATCCACCCACATTGCTCCAACGAAGAAATCCGCGCCTGCGGCGGGCTCACTGCACAATTCGTAAAAGTTAGGCGCCTGCGGCGGGCTTCTTCAGAGCCTCGCAGACTGACGACGTGCTCGCCGCCCCATCACTCTTATCCGCAACTGCGGGGTGCTACGGTAGTCCTTATCCCATGGAGCCTGCTGGAAGGACAACGCCTCTCCAGCCCAGACCGCGAGGGGCGAAGTGCGATCGCCTTCGCGCCGCGGCGGGGCGACCTGGATTCTCAATCTTCTGGCATGGTGTCGCCACCCAGGGTGCGAACGCGGGACGGAGGCTTGGCTCATCTCTGGCGGCCCGGAGCTTGGACGCGCAGGTAAAACGCAACGACGAAGGAGCAGCGGCCGACTGTGCAGAGGAGCGCATCACATGTGGAACGTCTGGAAGCAAAGCGAGACCTCCCCGCACCTGTCGCGGTGCGCGGGCGCCAGCCTGATCTCCCTAAGTCGGAGCCGCACACCTGGAGCCCCTCCTCCCCCTCCTCCCGCGGAGGTCTCCGGAGGCCCCGCGGAGGCCCCGCGATGACCGATTGGTTTTTGGAGGGCCTCGGCCCCGCTTCTTCCAGTGGCGGATAGCGGCCATCCCCTCCTGTCGATCGATAGGACGAAGTGAAGGAGGGTCCACTGTCGCCCCCTCCCCACGACGTGAAGGCGAGTTCCAGGCGCGGTTGCCTGACCCCTCCCCCCCAGGCGCAGGCCAGGAGGGAAGGCTTCAGATCCCCGACCCCACCCCACTGCCAGCCGAACACGACAGGCGTGCAAGGCGGGTGGAGGGCGCCAGGGCTCGACCCAGAACCACCCGCAGCTCCGAGCTCCGAGGAAGAGGATTACTCTCCGCCGCAGACACTCCAGCAGCAGCTCCGAGCTCCGAGGCGGAGGAGTCCTCTCCTCCTCTCCCCGGTGCCTGGGGAGAGGGCGAACGCCCGCCTGCAGCACTGGGCCGAGGCGAGCTCCCTCGGGAGCCCGGCGGGGAGCGACCCAGACACCCACCGTCTTCCAACACTCAGTGTGTTTCTGTCGTTTTTTTTGGGGGGGACAAAGAAAGATGGGCCGATTTTCCACCACCACTGCCATAGGTAGGAGAGGGGGAAGGCGGAGGAGGTGGAGGAGGGGGAGGAGGTGGAGGAGGGGAGGAGTAGGAAGAGGAGGAGGAGGAGGAGGAGGAGGAGGAGGAGGAGGAGGAGGAGAACGGGGAGGGGGAGGAGGACAAGCTAGGTGCGCTCGCGCCGTATCTGACGTCCTACCCCTCCCTCCCATGTCTCACCATTGCGTAGATCTCCTCTCTATTCGCACAGTCGGATGTCGAGCTGATCCCGAGAGGGTGCGCGATGCATCGTGGAGCACGGCATAGCAGGGCGTAGAAGAGCACGGCAGAGCGTGGTATGTCATATCATGCGGTGGTTTTGCGTAGTGAAGCATTGCATCACAAAGCATTGCAACGCAGAGGACGGCATCGCACAGCGGCGCAGAACCGAACATGGCATAGCATGGCGTTGAAGGTCAAAGCGTAGCATGGCATAGCGTGGTGTGGCACTGCGTAGTCAAGCACTGCATATCCTAGCCTTCCAGCTGAAGGCATGGCATCGCACAGCAGAATACCACATAGCAGTGCATTGCATGCTGTGGAATGGCACTGGAAATAATTACGCCAACGCTGCAGCGGGAGCACGATTCGGAACGAGCGGAAGCGCGGAAATGAGGCCAGCGCTGCAGCGGGAGCACGATTCGGAACGAGCGGAAACGCGGAAATGAGGCCAGCGCTTCAGCGGGAGCACGATTCGGAACGAGCGGAAGCCCGAAAATGAAGCCAGCGCTTCAGCGGGAGCAACATTTAGAAAACAACAGCGAAAACCCAACAACCAAGAATCCTGTGTAACAAACAATACGCGGAGGGGGCCGAACATCTTCCGGACGTCATCAGGGGAGAGAGGAGAGTAGTATTCATATTGTAAATTTGTAAAGGAGGAGGAGGAGGAGGAGGAGGAGGAGGAGGAGGAGGAGGAGGACTTCCCAATCCTGCATTATCCCCCGTCCGGTGGTAGTGGTGGTTGAAAACTGGTCCATCACAGAACCCAGAAATCTTGCGTCTCGATTTTGTTCGGGACGCGGGCCCCCGACCTCTCGACCGCTTCCCTGCCCCGAGAGGCCGAAAACGAGGAAAAACCTCCGCCTCGATTTTCTCGAGACGCCAGCTGCCTGGCAAGGAAAATGCTGTCGCGAGGTTAGTCGGCCGCCATCGCCCACGCGGGCGGGAACGCTCCGAGAGCGCTCTGGCGTGCTCTGGAACGGACTCGCCTCGATTCGGTGCGCGCCCGACGCAGCCCGCAGCGCCGCGCGCCCGCAGCGTCGAGCAACGGCTCGGGGCGAAGAGCGAGCCCTGGGGAGAGGGCCGAGACTCCTGCGTGGCCCGCGCCGGAGACACTCGGGGGAGCACCGGAGCATTGAAAACGCTGCGACCGCGACGGCAGCCCGCTCTGCGCAGCCCTGCGGGTGTCGCGGGCTGCCGGGGCCGGAGCGCGCACGGCAGCTCGGAGGAGAAGCGGGAGCCACCGCCATACCGAGGATCCAATCGGCGGGGGCCGACACCAGGGCGGCGGCACGCCCGAGCGTCTCCCACTACAGAGGAGGCCAGTCCACAAGAGACCTTCCACGAGCAACCCAACCCCGAGACCCCAGGACGCCCATCGATTTTCGGTGTGGGAACGCCACGCCTTCCACCGCAAAACTATCCAAAACCAAAAAACCCAGGGCGCCCTGGAGGCAAGCAGGTTGTTTCTTGGCATGGGTCCCCACTGTACAGGACGACGCTCAAACGTGCCACCGCCCGGGGGTCGCCCGCCCCCCCCCCCCCGATGGGCTCTGAGTGGCGGTGGTCTCGGTGATCCCTGCGTCTCTCCTCTGAGCAGCTGCGATTGCTTCCCCAAAAAGGTGCTCCTCCAGGTTGGTTGCTTCAGGCATCGCGGGCGGCACAAAACCAGTGGCGCGTGGACGGGAGCCTGGCGGAGGGGCGAGACAACGCGAGGGGAAGAAGAAGAAGAAGAAGAAGAAGAAGGAGGAAGAAGAAGAGGACGAGGACAAACATAGTATGCAACTACACAGAGGTGCGCGACACATGTCGACTGTGCGCTGGAAGGGTAATCGAGAAGCGCTTGCACAACTAGGAGGAGTAGAAGGAAAAAGATGAGGACGAGGATAATAGTAGTATGCAACTGCACAGGAGTGCGCCACATACGTCGACTGTGCGCTGGAAGGGTGATCGAGAAGCGCTTGCACAACTACGGCGGCGGCAGAGGGAAACGTTTAGCGCGGACGCGCCACACGGGCATGCGGAGGGGATGGCCGGCGAAAGGTTTGCAGTTGACGCTCGAAGATCAGGAATGGTGGCCGTGTCCCGCCCCTTCTGGCACGCCGGAGGCCGCAGGAGGCCCGTGGGGACCCCGGGAGGCCCTCCCGACCCAGGGATATCCGGCGACCATGGAGACCTCTGGTGAACTCGGGGGCCGCTGACAGAGCGCAACCCGCTGAGCCTTCCCCCCCCCCCCGCCTGCTTGCGGGTGCCCGTCGTGCGCCTCGATCTCCATAAACTGGCCGCATGTTCCGTGCGGGATTGTCATGTAGGTGACCTGCCTCTTCGCGAGGAGAGCCTTGCCGCAGAAGCACCCCAGAGACAGCGGCGCCACTGACGCTCACGTGGCAAAGACAAGAAAAGTCCCATCGGCCCTCTGGGCGTGAGTGGTGTGGAGCGCTTCCTCCTCCAACCCCCATTTTTCCCCTTCGGGGAGGGGCTTAATACTGTTCCCTATTAGTATACACCCCCTCCCCCAGGCGACCAGCAGCCAACCAGGAACAATGAGGACACCATGAGGGCCCCCTCCCACCATCCCTTTCAGAAAAAACCATACAACATACACTTTGGGGCAAATCTGAGTCATGTTCGTGAGGCCCGCGAACACTTTGAATCGTTTTGTTGACAGGGACGGCGGGGGCGTCAGCATATTGCCTCCTGGGCACAGAGCTACTATCCCTGACAAAAGACCATACAACATGCACCCAGCGGCAAAATCTGGATCATGCGCGGCCACCCCGCGATCACTGTCAAGTGGTGGCGTATGGCCTGCCGTGCGCAGGCCCACCAGACACGATGACGGGCAGTGGCTCTCGACACGGATGGTGGGGGCCGGCATGTCTCCTGATGTGTGCTGCCGCGTGCGCAGGCGCACCTGACACACTCTGCACGTGGCCCGGGCGTGGCGCACCGGGCGCGGCTGGAGTATGCGGCACGCCTGGCACTTTTTTGGTCTGCGGGTCGGGAGCGGGCCCCTTCTGGTCAAGGGCTAAACGGGGCGCGAATAGCCCTAATTGGGGAGACAGGGCGCGGGCGGGCGGGGCCTCAGGCGGCCGGAGGGCTCAGAGTACAGGCGGTGCCGAAGATCTTGCACAGGACAAGGTACGCCATGGACTGGAGCAGGGGGCGAAGTCACACGCAGAGGCCCGCGGCGCATCTGGCGCACCAGGCGTGCCTGGCACGCTCGGGCCCCAGGGGCGCCTGGCGCCCGTGGCGCGCCTGGCACACCTCGCCCCAGCGTCGCGCACATGGGCTCGGCTTTGGTTTCCAGTAGGCGCCCATCCAAAGACCTATCCTCCTCCTCCTTCCCCCTCTCCAACCTATGGTAGTGGTGGTGGGAAGTCGGCCCATCGTTCTTTCTCTTTGACGCGAGCGCACCCTAGCTTGCCCCCTCCCCCTCCTCTTCCTCCTCCTCCTCCTCATCGTCCTCCTCATCGTCGTCCTCCTCCTCCTCCTCATCCTCATCCTCCTCCTCCTCATTTTTCTCGGGCGTTGCTTGTGTAGGGAGGGCGGGTGTGAGTGAGCAAGACGGCTAACAGGCGGGTGGGTAGCTTGACCCATCCCCCTACCCCCTCCCCTGGACCTGGGCTGGGGGTTCCGCGACCCCTTGGAGCGTTCAACATGGCCTCGGCGAGAAGGCGAAACTCATTGATGTTACTTAGGTGTTGAGCCCATTTTGGCCTGCTGGGGGGTCCCTAATCGAGCCCCCCCCCCTCTCTTTCATCGATCTCCTCCAAGACGGCCTAAAGATGGCCCCCGAGGCTCCCAACGATGCCCCGAGAAGGCCCCAAGAGACACCCAGGAGGCCCCGAGAAGCCTCACAAGAAGCTCCCAAGAGACGATCAAGAGGCCCCAAGAGGCTCTCCTGAGGCACCCCAGACGGCCTAAGGGGCCGAATGGACCGCCAAAAGGCCCCCAAGACGCTCGAAGATGACTCCGAGAGACATCCAAGAGGTATCCGAAGAGATTCCGAGAGGCATCCAAGAGGCCTCTGGCCATTCTGCTCGCTCCCTCCTCCTCCTCCGCCTGCTCCTACACCTGCTCGTTGTCTCCTCCTCCTCCTTCTTCTCCTCCTCCCCCTTCTCCTCCTCCTCCTCCTCCTCCTCCTCCTCCTCCTCCTCCCCTCCTCCTCCTCCTCCTTCCTCCTCCTCCTCCTCCTCCTCCTCCTCCTCCTCCTCCTCCGCCCTCCTCTCCTCCTCCTCCTCCTCCTCCTCCTCCTCCTCCTCCTCCTCCCTATTACAATTACAGAATGTGACTCTCCTCTCTCCCCTGATGACATCTGGAAGATGTTCGGCCCCCTCCGCGTATTGTTTGTTACACACAGGATTCCCTGGAGTTGGGTTTTCGCTTGGGTTTTTCTCGAAATACTGCTCCCGCTGAAGCGCTGGCCTCATGTTCGGGCTTCCGCTCGTCCCGAATCATGCTCCCGCTGCAACGCTGGCATCATCATGTCCAGTGCCATGCTACGGCATGGTTTCCGGTCCTTCCAAATAGGCTCCAAAATATAGAAAATGGCCTCCCGCAAAAAGAAACAGTGGAAGTGATTACACATTCGGTGTCGATGTTGCTGATTTGGGGGGCCGCAGAAGCCACCCCCACTTTGGGGCGTCGCCACGCCATGCTATATCATGCTAGGCCTTGATCTTCAACACCATGCTACGCCATGTAGTGCTATGCCATGCTACGACATCCGATTGTGCAAATAGAAGCAAGATCTACGCCATGGGAAAGTAGGACGTCAGATAGGACGCAAGCGCACCTAGCTTGTCCTCCTACCCCCTCCTCCTCCTCCTCCTCCTCCTTCTCCTTCTCCTCTTTTTCCTCCTCCTGCTCCTTCTCCTCCTCCTTCCCCCTCTCCAACCTATGGTAGTGGTGGTGGGAAGTCGGTCCATCTTTCTTTGTCTCTTTGACGCGAGCGCACCTAGCTTGCCCCCTCCCCCTCCTCCTCCTCCTCCTCTTCCTCCTCCTCCTCCTAATCGTCCTCCTCATCGTCGTCCTCCTCCTCCTCCTCATCCTCATCCTCATCCTCCTCCTCATCCTCCTTCTCTTCATCCTCCGACGACGACGGCGACGACGACAATTCCTTCTCCATCGTCCTACATCCTCCTCCATCCTCCCCCACTTGGGGTACGACGGCCTTCTCAGCCAGTTATTCCACTGCATGCTCCTACACATCCCTGATCAGGACTACTCGCTTGACCATCGTTCCTGGATGGGCTGGTGGGGTTACGCGAATTGTTCAGGATACTTTGTGAACCAGCTGCAAGTCAAAGTCGCAGAGCATGGAGCACTGGAGACTGGCAGAGGTCGCCTGATTCGCGTTGTTTCCAACAACCTGACGTCTAATGAGAGGAAACGTCGGGTAGCAACTCCTTTGACCGCCTCGCATGTCATTGCATATTGGCGTTCATGCTAGGACGTCACTTAACACTGGTATCCACGAGCTCTCGCGTTCCAATCTTCAACTTTACACAATTCCCGTCTGCGGGGAACAGCTCCATCATGCTGCGACTCGTCTTTTGAGGGGGCATGCCAATTGCGCCACCAACAGCGCAACGATCCGCACACAGCGGCACCACGTTGTTACATAGCGCAAGCTACAGGACATACGAGGTGCATGAACACACATCCTCCTGTCCGCCCATCCTGCGTCTCGGCGCTCTGCGGTGCGGGAACCCATCTGCCAATATCACCTCGCCACACGGCATGATGGAACGGGGTCCCGAAAGAAACGGGGCCTGGACCCCGCAGTTCTACCGAGGACGGGCTCTCGTCATGAGCCGCTACCTGACGGCCACACGGCCCGGGAAGGGCCCCGAGAGTCCGACAACGGAGGAGCAAACTCAGGACCCCCACCTTCGAGGACCCAAGACCCCTTGCCCTCCACGGCGAACTGCGACAGCCCTCGCTGGACGATCAAGCCTGCAACACCTGCACGGTGAGCGGAACCCACGAATGGTGTACAGCCGGAACAAGGACAGAAGATCACCCTTCAAGAACATGAGAGCCTCCGACGGCCAAACTGACGAGCATTCGAGGGTACGCTTCCCCAGGATGCACAATATCATCCACCAGACACGAAAACACAAGGGCACCTTCCTCGAACCGACCTCGGTCTCATAACTCGGCCCGACCGTACGACAAGCTCGTCTCGTGGCGACTTCGGCGTTGGTTGCTGATGCCGCGTGGGCCGGTCAATCTTGAGCAATCGCGACTTTCCGATAGCGCGGACCGTTCGATGTGGGCCGATTCCGGGTCACTGGCGGTGTTCAACCTGGAACGCCCGCGGCGGGGTCGCCCCCGCGTCGGCACGCTGTGAACAGACCATGTGTGCAACGCGGTGCTCGGCCGCCTTGCCGTCCGCTTCGACCTTCACGTAGCCAGGCTCGTACAGGAGCGACAGCCAGCCGTCCTGACCGCCAAGCGGGAGCCCGGGGTAGGGTCCAGACAATGTATACGAGCAGCGAGCGTATCCGCATCCACGCCCTCGCGGTCTGGGTTCCCAGGCGCGCGATCTCGTAGATACGCGGTCGCATGGATAACTCCGCGTGGGGCATCCACAGGATCGCGGCCCAGGAGCCTGGCCCGCGAGGCTGTGGAGACGGATACGCTCTCCTTCCATGAAGTGGGCCACAGTGGCTGACGAGCCTCGTCCGAAGAACGACGAGTCGCAAGTCGTCGGCCAGGCCGAAGACGTTCGCGCGGCGCAGGGGGGGGGGGCCAAGGGACGTGTTGAAAGAAGAAGGGGAAGGCATGAAATCCGGGGAGATCTCATGGCCCCGGCCAGACATCTTCCCCTGGTCATCCCCCCCCCTTTCTGGTCGCCACCGACAGGTAGAGCAGAAGGACAAGCGAGCGACCGACCGGGTCAGTGGGGAGGAAGAGGAGTAAGGGGAGAGGAGGCGATGGACTACGGAGCACCCGATGCACCGTCCGTCTCAGCAGCAAGGATAGGCAATCACATGCGAACCCTACCCCAGCAGATCAGACTTCTGAAAAGTCGGCTGGCGCTCAGAACTTGAAGGATGCCTGCAGCCAAGTGCACCCCAGCGGGGATAGGGTACGGTCGGGAACTGTTGCTTGGCGTGTCGCGGCGGCGGCCCCGGCGACACGCGCCTCCCCCCCTCCCCCCCTCCCCCTGCCCGGCCAACCTTGCGAGTGGACCGCGTGCCGCTCCGCTCCTCGGGGCGGGAGGCTCGGGCGGAAAAGCTCGGGGCGCGATGCCGGGGGGCCGGGCCGAAACGCAGTGGGCAAGAATCGGCGGAGCGCCACGCGAAGCAGAAGTTCCCGACAGTAGGTTTCGATAGCGGTCGCAGAGATGAAGGGGAGTGAGAGGGGACGGGGGCAATGGACCCTGAGCATCCAATGTACCACCCGTCGCAGCAGCAGGGGGTCCGGGTGGTTTTTCCTCCCTTGAAAGAAATCTCCCAGAAGAAACCCAACCCTGAGACCCCAAAGCGTCCATGGCTTTTTGGTGTGGGAGCGTCGCGCCTTCCATGGCAAAACCATCGAAGCCCAAGAGACCCAGGGTAGCCTGGAGGCAAGCAGTATGTTTCTTGGCAGGGGCCCCCACTGTAGCTGCCCCCGTACGCAACACGCAACGCGCAGAGTGTTGACACGGAGCTCAACACGCAGACTGAAAGCGTAGGTCTGGCGGGATACGGTCGCCGAAACGTGAACCAACACGCCGAGCCAACACGCAACGCGTCAACACGGACGTTTGGAACACGGACGGCACTTGTGGCGTCTCCGAGCGGGCGTATCGAGGCAGGCAGCTAAGGCTGAGAAGGCTCGGCTACTCCAGATTTCGTAATAAAAGGGAGGGGGTCTCAACCCTCCCAGACGAAAAGTTTTAGACCCCCCCCGTGGGAGAACCCTCCAAAACATCGTCCCCAGACCCCCCCAGGCCCTCCAAGATAGCCTGGAAGAGACCCCCCCCGAAATGAGACCCCCCTCCCTTTATCACGAAATCTGGAGTAGCCGGGCTGGCTCGGTGGATGGGGGGGGGGCCGGGGGAAGGAGGGGCCCAGGGCGGCCTCCGACCAAGGCCGAAGGTCCGAAAGCACAGAGAGAGAGGCTGCTCGCCCCCGACCTCGGCCCGGCGTGGTCGGGCTTGCTGTTTGCTCTCTCTCGGTCGGGCAGCGAGGGGGGTCCGGGGGCACTGCGTCGTGCTCTCTTGCGCGGAGGGGCCCTGCCAGTGGGGGCCAAAGAGTGCAGAGAGAGGAACGCGAGCCCCCCCCCCGGGCCAGCTCGAAAGCGACAGCGTCAGCAGCAGTGGCAGTGGCAGCCTCGACAGCCCGAGCAGAGGGCGAACTCCATCGGCGCCCCCCCCCCTCCCCCCGCACGCGCAGGGCGCCGTGCGACCCTGGTCAGGCTCCTCGACCCCGCCGATGACGATGGCGCCCCTCGGGCCCTTCTCGCCGATGACGTTGTCTCCGTCAGTGCTCGGGGAGCTCCGGACCCTGCCCCTTCCACCGCGCGGGCCGGGTGGAGCGAGCAGAGCCACGTCGGAGGAGATCCTGCTGGAAGCTTCGTGCGTGCGCGCGTGCGTGCTGGGCGTGGGCACGCAGCAGAGCAGGAGTCGTTGGGGTGTACGGGCACGGTGCAGGTTCACAGAGCATGTGGCCCGCTGAGCTCCTGGCGACCACGCAGACACGAGTTCTGGAGACGGTGCACGCCCATCAACACGAGGGAAGAGCTTCCGCTGGTACTGCTGCTGCGACGGTGGCCGCAATTCGTCTTCATCGCACGCGTGCGAAATTCCGTCGTAGGGGTGGGCTTATCGTCCTCATTATCCTCATCATCGTCTCCCGTCTATTGTTAGTATGCCTCCTCTTCGTCCTCCTTGAAGAATTCCCATCTTCATGCGTGCTGGTGCCTGTGTATCCCCGCTTGTGGATCCGCACGCCAATGGAACCGGAGAGGGGGAAGGGGGTGTTTAGTAAAGGTCCGACGTCAGGAGCCTCAGCTGAAGCCCGTATAGTGATGCACAATGGGGCTGTCTTGAAGCTTCTGGGGGCATTCTCGAGGCGATCTCAAGCCGAATATCTCTCCTTATCTGTTTGGGTCGCCGTCGCCCTGGGCCCTGCTCCTCCAGCGATCCAGCCGGACGGACCTTGAACACCGTCGCACTTCTTGTTTCGAAGGGAAGCCCCTTCCCTTTGGTCCCCTCCCTGGCGGGGGGGGGGGTCCCAGGGCGGGTTGGCGGGCCGGGCTTGGGGGGTCCGGGCGCGAGGGGGGGCCTCGAGGCGCGTCCCCACTGCGGGCCCATGCAGGGGGGCTCTGCAGGGGTCGTGAGCTCCCCACCCCCGGGCGGTCCCTTCCCTCCGGGCGGTCCCCCCCGGGCTGTCCCCCCCCCCCCGGGCGGTCCTCCGTGGACAAGGGGGGGGGGCCGGCGGGAGCTCCGCACCCCTCCCCCCGCCTCCCCCCCCCCTTGTGGACAAGGGGACCCCCCTCCCCCTCGCCCTCCTATCCGGACCCCAGCCCCCCCCCGGAGGCCCCGTCCCCACTCTTAGATCTGCTGCTGCGGGGTGCATGCGTGTTTTCCGGCATGCCTCCAGGAGCCCTCGGATCCGCTCCGAGGCGGCTTCGAGTGGCCACGGAGCTTCCCAAGAAGTCTCCCAAGAGGCCCCCCCAACAGAGCCCGATGGGCTCCCAAGAGAGCCCCAAGAAGGGCTCCAGAACGTCAGCGTCGTCGTCGTCGCCGCCGCCGCCGCCGTCGTCCCCCTATAGGGTCGGCAGCACTGGCCGTAAGGCCTTCCGAATACGAGTATCTCCAGAAGCGAGACATGCTTGAAACGTTTGCTTTCGTAGCAAGGTAGTTCTTCCACCAGGTCGGAGCTCACCAGTCCATGCAGGAGGGAGGGCTCCAGGGGGGGGGGGCGCTAGCTGAGGGGAAGGATCCGTTTGGAGCATGCTGGGTACATCTTAAAGTCGCTGGGGCGCATACGGGCCGTCTTCACCGTGCCTGCCTGGCTGCGTCTCGCCGCCTTCATATGGGCGGTCTTGGCTATGGCCTAGGGCCCACTGTGGGGCCGAAGAGGGCGCCCCGGGGGGGGGCGGACTCTACCGGGACCCGGCCCAGCCCGCTGGGACGAATGCCGCGGCAGAGACACCAGCCCTATACAAGCACATGCGCATGCACACACACACACATATATGTATACATACCTTTAAAACACATACGATCATGCACATGTATGTGCAAGCACACGCACATTCATCTGCGATCTACCATCTTCAAAAAAACACGCACGCGCGCGGATACATATCTGCATATGGCATCGCACGGGAATGCACATGTATGCTCAAGTGTTGGCATACTCGTGCGAGCGATTGGTCTGTCTTAACTGGTGGCTGGGACACCGCAGTGACCGTCTCAATCTCCGACAGTTGCTTCGTGGACTGACAACCAATACACACACACAACCTACGCCGGCACAGAGACCCTACGCAACAACGATGCATGATCAGACGAGCATGGTCGGCACGACATGGCACAGCGGCAGCGCCGCATCCTGAAAACGAGACACGGCACGGCACCTCGCTTCACATCCTGCAACTCAGGCACGGCACGGCACAGCACGGAAACCTTCCTCGCCTTCTACGCACCAGACACGGCACGGCACAGCACGCGAGCGCGCAGCACGGCAGGGCAACTTCTCCGCACTCTGCAGACCGACCACGGCACGGCATGGTGCGCGGGTACGGCACGCCACCCTTCCCGAATGCTGCACGCCAAGCGCGGCACGGAACGGCACACGGGCCCAGCACGACACGGCACGCGGGCACGGCACGCGGGCACGGCACGCGGGCACGGCACGCGGGCACGGCACGACACGGCACCGTGTTCGAATTCTAAATCATACGCACGGCACGGCACGGCATGCGGGCACGGCACGGCACACTGCTCGCATGCAAAATCCGCGGAACCTGTTGACGTGTGGAAGACGCTGTTCCGCTCGCCGTCGTCGTCGTCGTCGTCGTCGTCGTCGTCGTCGTCGTCGTCGTCGTCGTCGTCGTCGTCGCCGTCGCCGTCGCCGTCGCCGTCGCCGTCGCCGTCGCCGTCGCCGTCGCCGTCGCCGTCGCCGTCGCCGTCGCCGCTCCCCCTAGTCGTCGTCGTCGTCGTCGTCGTCGTCGTCGTCGTCGTCGTCGTCGGCGTCGGCGTCGTCGTCGTCGTCGTCGTCGTCGTCGTCGTCGTCGCCGTCGCCGTCGCCGTCGCCGTCGCCGTCGCCGTCGCCGTCGCCGTCGCCGTCGCCGTCGCCATCGCCGTCGCCGTCGCTGTCGCCGTCGCCGTCGCCGTCGCCGCTCCCCCTAGTCGTCGTCGTCGTCGTCGTCGTCGTCGGCGTCGTCGTCGTCGTCGTCGTCGTCGTCGTCGTCGTCGTCGTCGTCGTCGTCGCCGTCGTCGTCGTCGTCGCCGTCGTCGTCGTCGTCGCGGTCGTCGTCGTCGTCGTCGTCGTCGTCGTCGTCGTCGTCGTCGTCGCCGCTTATCCCCTTTCCCTGGGCCATCCTCCTCAAGCGCGCCAGCCAAAAGCGAAATTGAGCAACGCCGCAGTTGAGTCGAAGGAAAGCCCCGTCCCTTTGATCCCTTTCCCGCCGGGGTGGGGGGCCTCGGGGGTGGTCCCGAGGGGTGGTGTCGGGGGTTTTGTCCCCAAGGTGGTCCCGGGTCAGAACGCAATTCCCTCGTGGGGGGTCCCGGGGCCCACAAAACCCCAACACGGGCAAAATGTGCCCCTAGAGGCCTCCAAGACGCTGCAAGAGGGATGCGAATCGCGGAATGATCCGTCCCGTACGGCACAGATAGCCTCCAGACGATCCAAGACACCTCCTGGACGCGCCACGAGGCCACCAAGAGCACTCCGAAGAGGGCCCCAAAAGGTTAAACTCATTGGCTTTCTTTGGTTTGTGCCAAATTGTTGTATTTTCGCCTTCTCGGCTTCCCGACGCCCAAGAGGCCTCCACGATCGCCCCGAGATCGCCCCAAGATAGTCCAGAAGTCTCCAAAAGGGCCTCGAATCGACCCAAGAGGGCCCCCTATACAGCACAAGAGGCCTCCAAGGCGGCCCAAGAGGGCCCCAGGGCGGCTCCGAGAGCGTGCCCACACAGAGGAATCGAAAGGAGCTGTGCAACATTCTGCCCCAAAGCCCCCCAGGAGGACCGAAAAGGTCCAAAGAGGTCCCCCAAGAGGCCCCCGAGAGGCCCCCCCCAGGAAAGCCCAACGTGCCCTCGGGAGGCCCCCAAGAGACCTCCTCGCACGCAGGCTCGGCGGCACCCGCCGCCAGGGCCTTCCCCGCACCAAGAGAGCGCGGGGCACGGCGCGCGGGCGCGGCACGGCACGCCACGCACTCCCTCGCGCCGTCGAAGGAGCCGAAAGCACGGCACGGCCCGTGGGGCACGGCGCGGGGGCACCGAGCACGACGCCTCGCTCCGCAGGCCTTGGGCACCGAGCGCGCCACCGCACGGCACGCGACGATATGCGGCACGGCCGCAGCCCGAACGGCACGCTGCCCACAGCTGCACGGCCAGGCGCAGAGAGCACGGCACGGCACGGCACGGCACGCGGTCACCGCGCGCTGCTCGCACTCTCTCGGCACCCAGCGCGGCAGGGGGAACGCCACGCGGGCACGGCGCGGCAAGGCACGGCACGTGCCTCCCGCTCTCGAAACGAAGGAGGTCATCGCGCGGCATTGCGCGTGGGCATCGCGCGGCCGGCGCCGTTCTCGCGCTCCGAAGCGCAGAAACGCGCCGATCCCTACCGGAACTGAATGCCCATACAGCATTCGGTGTACAGGGAATGGCGGAAATCAAACAAAGCATGCGGCGGGATAGATCTTCTCGCTGGCACCGCTCCAACAACAAACCGGACCACCCGAGAGGCTTTTTGGGACGCGGGAGTAAGTCACTTACGTCCGACACATGTTTAAGACCGCCACCAGGAGGAAACCTGGAGGACCTGATACTTCAGACTCCGAAGAGAGGCTGCGGTCAGTGGGACAATATTTCATTGTTACGCCTTGAGAAAATATCCGATCAGTCGAAGATGCAGCCGCGAATCGCCAGCCCTCCAAGAGATTTCGCCAACCCACTCTTTTTAGATGGCCGCATAATATTCACACTAACCTAGTTGTCTAGTTACATCCACCTCCCATACGCCCCAAGCAAAGAAGTCAAATCACAATCATGAAACCTGCTTCCCGACACCCTCCGAACGCTTCCGTCAAACTTCACTATCCACTCCAAGTCCCCGTCGGCAATCTTCCCCTGGGTGCCGTGTCCGGGTTCTGAAAGGAATGCATGACAAGGGAGCAAAGGTAATAGACTGCGCAGGCATGGGGCATTGGCGGTGGAAAGAAACCAGAACCTTCGATGGTTCGAAGACGGCAGCACGGCCGCCGCGAAATCGCCACTTTGGGCTCCAGAAAAACAGAGAACGCATTGGCAAGCAGGAAAATGCGTCGCACCAAGAGCGTGAAGGAGACTGCCGGCGAAGGACGCAACGAGGCTGGCCGAAACAACCACGGCTGCTCTGACATCCCAGGCTGCCGACGTCGGGTAGGGCAAATGCGAGAAACAAGGAGAACCGATGCTCGCCAGGATCACGAGCTTCCTGAGTGCCCGGCCGCAGCCAGCCCTCTGCAGCGCTCGGGCGTTCTTCGAACTCCCTGCCTGACTACGCCGTGGCCCAAAGAGTGTGAGCGTAGATGTATAGTTACATATATAGACATACAAGCACACAATGTGTACATGCAGGTTTGTAGTTCCATACATGTATTATAAGAATGTGTGCACATGTACGACCACCCGTCTGGTGATAAGAAGCTTGGGGGGGAACCAACGTCTCACTCGATCGATCTCTCTCAATCGATCCCACGAAAAATCTCGCTATCGATTTCGCTATCGGTCTCACTAGTGGTCACGGGACACCGACCAGACCCTGACGGGGCATCACTATAGATCCCACTACCGATCTCACTCGATCGATCGCATAATTGATCTCACTATCGATATCACAATGGTTCTCAATGTCCCTCTCGCTATCGATCTCACTATCGACCCCACTATCAATCTCACGATCGATCACCGAAAAGACACAGACAGGACACCGACGGGCCACCACGGGTCACCACAAAACACCATGGGACACCGTCGGGACACCACGTCGGGACACCCCGGCCACCGCCGGAGAACCCAAGAGGGGGCAGTCTGTTGGCCTGGCGGCGCCTTAGCCTGAGGAGGGTTATATCACCCCGTCACGTTCGATTTTTGTTGGTATCTCTCTCTCTATATATATAAACATGTGTAAACATATGTCCTATAAGCAAGGCTGCAACTGGGGGCTTTTACTTCTGGTCTACTGACCTGGGCCTGTATGTCGGTCTGGCGGTTCGTGCCAACTGTCGCCGCCCCGTCGCAGCCTCGTCCCCTCGCGTGTGGCTTTCTCAAGACGTATTGCAAACACATATATTGTAATCAACGAACGCGCGCGCCAGAAACAAAAAGATGACGGGCATGACGGGGGGCGGTACGAAAGACAAGGCATAATCGCATGCAAAATGATCAATCCAAACTGAGCCCGTCAAGAGCGGGCTAGGGATGTGGTTTATATCGACGAAATATACATATTTAGATACATATATAGAGAGATTACGGTTTCATACAAGAGAATATAAGTGGTGTGGGCGACGTGATGTAATATATGTAGTGCAATCTGAATGAAGCAGCTTATGTGGAGCAAACTACGTGGTGCAATCTATGTGGTGCAATTTCCCAGCCGAACTTAAAGTTTACTGCTCGCGCAATCATTCAACCCGCCAACCTGCAACTTGGCTTGCAAATCCCATGCGGCGGCGATTGCGATGATTGGTGCTGGCTGGCGCATCGTAGTGACCGCGCTAGCGCGCGCATTCTGGAGCTCAGAGCGGCCAGCTAGATGCTACAACCGACGCGGCGGCGGTGTCGCTGACAGGTAGGGACTTCCCTGCACGTATCGCAGGCCACGCTGGCGCGCGGGCACCTCAGTGCGAGTCGGTGACTCTGGCGGGCGCGGTATCATGGTGACGTCGACGAAGGCGGACACGACGTCGATAACGGCGGACACGTAATGGTGACGATGATGACGAGGGCGACGGCACGGCCAATGACCAATGACAGCGCCGGTGCTGGTCACGCCCACGACGATGATGGTGTCCACTTGATGGTGGTGAAAGCTTTGGAAGGACTTCGACATGCGCGCGTGGCCGACGCGAGCGAGTGGCCCGCATTGGATTAGTTGACAAGTCTCGGGGCCTCCCAACAAGCGCGCAAGGGCGTTCGAATGATGTCGACATGCGCGCGCGAGAGGCCCGCGTGGCCGAATTTGATGAGAATGTTGAACACCGTATGGTTTTCGAAGGAACTCGCAAGAGTGCGGGCGCTGATGGCTTTGACAAATCAATTTGCAAATCCAATGTTGTTATGTGTGTGTTCGCGAAACTCGATATGGAAATCTTCACAAAGCCCAATGTGCTTGAATAGTTTCGGCGTGCGCGCGCGACGACGCGCGCGTGTCGACTTTGTTCCATTTCTGTCGTACGGGGTCCGTGGGAACTACTGGTTTGAGGTAAAAGGGGTGCTCGCGCAAGGCAGTTTTTCAAAGGGATACAGAAGGGGTGATAGCGGGTCCCCTTGCGATGTTACGAACTCCTAGTAGAGGTAGACAATGAAGCATCATCTTATGTAATCTGTACTATCCCAGAGAGGTGCCGATAAGTCGGGCCAGGAGGGGCGTGGTAGTAGATCTTAACTTTCAAGAAACTGAGCATTTGTGTGGTGCGCTCCACTTTGCCGAATTAAAAACTGTCAAATCAACTGCTCGCGCAATCAGCCCACCATCCCACCAAAACTTGGCGTGCAAAATCCATGCGGCGGCGATTGAGGCGAAAATCATTGAGTCTCCGTGTGCTGTTCACTGTGCTTCGCTGTCTCGCGTTTTCAGGCTTCCGACGCTCCAAGAGATGGCTTCAAAAACACCCCAAGAGGGAGAACACGAACCGTGAATTCGAGCCTTCCGCCCAAAGAGGCCCCCAGAATGCAACAAGAGGCCCCGAAGAGGCCCCAAACGAGGCTCCAAGGGGCCCCCAAACGGCCCCCACGAGACTTCAAACCTGCCTCCAAGAGGCCCCCGAGAGGCCTCCCACGATATCCAAACGAACATTCAGGAGACATCTGACCCTCAACCCAGGCACGGTTTCGGGATGGGCCGAAGGCTTCTCTCTCTCTCTCTCTCTATCTGTATATATATATATATATATATATGTGTGTACAGATGTATCGGTATGTGCCTGTATGTATATGCTGCTTTAGTTCCTCCAAGTGCTACCAGGCGGCCTCCCAGCCGAAGAGTGAACACCAGGCTGGCCAATTGGCCGCCGCCGGGCGCCAGGGAGTCACGCGAAGGGAACGAGCGCCGCGGGCCCTCCCCGCCGCGTGGCGAGCCACCGCTCGGGGGGGGGGGGGGGGGAGGGGGCGCGCGCCTGCGAGCGGCACGTGGCCCGGAGAAGGCCCGAGAGCCCGACGCCCGCCCTGCCACGACGCGTCGCCGATGCGGCGGGGCCCCTGCGGCAGGCTCGCGGCGTGGCCGCCTGCGCGCTGGCCTGCTGGCAACGCGCGGGCCGCTCAGCCTGGAGCGAGGAGGAGGAGGAGGAGGAGGAGGGGGAAGAGGAGGAGGAGGAGGAGGAGGAGGAGGAGGAGGAGGAGGAGGAGGAGGGGGAGGGGGAGGAGGAGGAGGAGGAGGAGGAGGAGGAGCTTTTGAGCGATCGGTCGGGATCGGCCGATGCTGGGCCGCTGGCGGCGTCCAACTTGTGAGCGCCCGCGCTGGGGCCGCCGCCGCGTCCACGCGGCGCAGACCTACCGTACACTTGTCGAGCAGCCTTGGGCCTCGGAGGAGGGCGAGAGAGTGAGATGCTGGGAGGCCCCAGGGCTTCCCAGCCTAATCCGGAAGTTTTTGTTGTGGGTCCTGGAGGCTTCTTGGGACTCGTAAGCGCGGACTTTGACCGAACTAAGACATGGGCGCGCCCGAGAAAACTGCAGCCTAGACGTTCTCGTCGTCGTCGTCGTCGTCGTCGTCGTCGTCGCCGTCGTTGTCATCCTCCTCCTCCGAACCTTGCTATCCATGGGCCGATTCCTGGCTGCTTAGGCCGTTCGAAGGAAGATGTGGTCACCCCTGCAAGGCGGATAGCAGTGGGCGCTGGGTCGAGACATCCTCTTGTCCGGTGCCTCCAGCTGGACCTGTGGAATGCCCTGGCGTGGCGGTTTGCGGGGTCCCCGGCTGTTTCCGGGGGTTCACGAAGGCGGGGCGGAGCAGAATGATGCACAAGAGCATCGGTGCACAAGAGCAGGGGCGTGAGACAGTTCAGAGGAGCAGAGTGGCGCGCAGAGGGCGTAGTTCGGGGTTGACGAAAGCGGGCGAGGGGAGTAAATTGGGGGGATCGGCTCACGCAGCTGGCTTTCACCGGCGCCTACCTGCGCCGAACGCGGCCAAGTATCTCGGAAAGTGCCCCTGTCGATCTCCCCTGGGAGTGAAGACCAGCGCCATGCCCGGCTAGTTGTTGGGCCCTCGCTTGGTGCACACGTCCGCCTGGCGGAGGCCAGGGGAAGTATGTGCACCGTTCTGGGGTCCAGGATGGCCCTGGCCAGGTGCGGTGGTGGTGCGTGCTGCGGACAGGGACCTTTGCTCAGCCTGTCGCAGCGGTGGCCCCAGCGACACGCTATGCGACGCTCGGACAGGCTCGGGACGTTGACGCTTGGAAATGGCGACGTGGCTACCGTGTCGCGCCGAAGCGGTCAGGAACCTTTGCTGAGCCTGTCGCAGCGGTGGCCCCAGCGACACGCTGTGCGACGCTCGGACAGGCTCGGGGCGTTGACGCTTGGAAACGGCGGCATGGCTACCGTGCCGCGCCGAAGCGTAGTGAGCCGGAAGCGGCGGAGCGACACGCCGAGCCAAAATTCTTGACCCTACGCCCCCTGCGCGCACGGACAATCGGCAGCGCGCGCCGGCGGCTCGTCGGCGCTGGGGTCGCCGTCCACCTGCTCCCCTCCATAGCTTTTCGGCGGGGGATCGAGGCGGACCGCCAACAACGTCCTCCATCGTCCTCTCAGCCGCCCGATTCCGTGCATCGCTCCCCGCGATGCGCGACTCTCGGCTCCATCCTTGCGCCTTCGAGAAGCTCCCCTGGAGACCGTCGGCTCTCGAGTCCAGGCCGCGACGCGCGAAATGCGCTCTTCCTCTCGCTCCCCTGGGGGTGGTACTGGGCCCTCGTCCTCTTCCTCCCTTCTCCCCTCCCCCTGCCCCTCCTCGTCCTCGTCCTCGTCCTCGTCCTCCCTGCATCCTCGTCCTCGTCCTGGCACACCCCCTCTCCCCTCCTCTGGCCCCCTCTGTCGGGCTGCCCCTGCTGCTGCCCATGCCCCCTCCCCGCCTGGCTTTCTTCCGCGGTGCCCGCACTCCCACCGCTAACTCTGTCGCTGCTCCCCCCCCCCCCCCGTCTGCACGCCGCCAGCGACGGACGAGGGCGGACTGGGGACGCGAGAAAAGAGTCCGCGACGACCGCGGCGACCAGGACGACATCGAGAAGGACCACCACGGGGCACGGGAAGAGCCCCCGGAGGCAGGTGGACTGCGGCGTTCCATGGGGATGGCATGATCGAGCACCTGGGACATAGGCGTCCAGCGAGTCCGACCACTCGACGGGGGGGCTGGGAGGCGCAGTGGCTTCTTGGAACACTTGCGGGGCAGCTCGCCGCACCGAACTCCGCCCGAATCCCGCGCGGACCCAGCTCCGCAAGAGGGCGACGAGGAGGAAGGGCTTCGGTTGAGCAAGCAATGAGGGGGGTAGGGGGGGGTGGGGGCAGCAAGGAGAGGGGAGGAGGGGCGTGCTCGCGGCATGTCTCTCTCCTTTCCCTCTTCTGTACTCGCCGAGCCGCCCATCCCTCCCCCTCCGCCCCCTGCCCAAACCCTCCCTCCTCCTCCTCCTCCTCCTCCCTCCTCCCCCTCCCCCTCCCTCCTCCCTCCTCCCTCCTCCCTCCCTCCTCCCTCCTCCCTCCTCCCTCTCCCTCCTCCCTCCTCCCCCTCTCCTCCTCCCCTCCTCCCTCTTCCCTCCTCGCTCCTCGCTCCTCGCTCCTCCCTCCTCCCTCCTCCCTCCTCCTCCCTCCTCCCTCCCTCCTCCTCCCTCCTCCCTCCTCCTCTCCCTCCTCCCTCCTCCCTCCTCCCTCCTCCCTCCTCTCCTCCTCCCTCCTCTCCTCCTCCCCCTCCTCCTCCTCCTCCTCCCTCCTCCCTCCCTCCCTCCTCCTCCTCCTCCTCCTCCTCCTCCTCCTCCTCCTCCTCCTCCTCCGCCTCCTCCTCCCTCCTCCTCCTCTCCTCCTCCTCCTCCTCCTCCTCCTCCTCCTCCTCCTCCTCCTCCTCCTCCTCCTTCCTCCTCCTCCTCCTCCTCCTCCTCCTCCCTCCTCCCCCCTCCTCCTCCCTCCTCCTCCTCCTCCTCCTCCTCCTCCTCCTCCTCCTCCTCCTCCTCCTCCTCCTCCTCCTCCTCCTCCTCCTCTTCCTCCTCCTCCACCTCCTCCCTCCTCCTCCTCCCCCTCCTCCTCCTCCTCCTCCTCCGCCTCCTCCTCCTCCTCTCCTCCTCCTCGTCCTCGTCCTCGTCCTCGTCCTCGTCTCGTCCTCGTTCCTCCTCGTCCTCGTCCTCCTCATCCTCCTCCTCCTCTTCCTCTCCTCCTCCTCCTCCTCCTCCTCCTCCTCCTCCTCTTTCCTCCTCCTCCTCCTCCTCCTCCTCCTCCTCCTCCTCCTCCTCCTCCTCCTCCTCCTCCTCCTCCTCTCCTCCTCCTCCTCCTCCTCCTCCTCCTCCCCCTCCTCCCCCTCCTCCCCCCTCACGTGCTCTCCCTCCCCCTCCCTCTCGTCCTGCTCCTCTCTCGCTGGCTCTCTCCTGCGCGCCCCCATCGGCCGGACATCTGCCGGCAGTCTCACTATGCTCCGCAAGCGAGCTCAAAGGATGGCCCAAAGTGGGGCATGTGTTAAGAACGGGCACAAGAGTAGAAACTTTTAAGCACTGGTGCAAGGTGTTGATAACACTTGCATGGGTGCCCCGCACATTCTGGAATTGGTCACACTTGCACTTAGGCTCATCACCTTCTGGGCTTACCACCCACAATGCAACGCACGTATGGAGCTCACAGTGTTCCAAAACATGTGCAGCAGGTGGTTAGCTAGCCTGACTCTCCAATCTCAATGGCCATGAAGCCCCAGCGTAGCCACCCGACCGCGGCTTCCCCCGAGTCCACCACAGACAGATCGACCGCTTCATCATATATCTCCTCCACGAGGTCGTCAAAAAAGTTGCCGAGAGAAACGACACCATTGGGCACGGCGTGAAATGGCGATCTGCCACCCGCGGAGAACTTCCGCTGCAAGCTCGAAATCCTGCGGGGCGCATGGCACACATCTGCCGAGAACTATTGGCATGAAGCGTGAGATCAAAGAGGTGCGAGGGCACATGCCGCACACATGCCCGCACACATTCGCGAACAGCAGAAATTACAGAAACGACTCCTCTGCAAAAGGGCGGGCGCGGGCTGTGGAGATCACCCAGGGCTCAATGATCAAGCTGGATTTAATGTGTATATATATATGTATACATGCATACATACATGCATAAATACATACGTACATACATACATACATGCATACATACATACATACGTACGTACGTACATACATACATACATACATACATACATACATATATATATATATACACATATTATCCACAGATACAAACAGCGCAGAGACAGCAGAACGGGGGGATGCACGAGGAGACCAGGGAGGGAGAACGGCGCGACAAGAAAGGGGGCCTGTCGTGAACAGCATCACGGAGGGGGGCGTTACCCCGGTGCAAACCTCAGAACCCTCACGCACCGACAGGGCTGGAGCAATCTCCCAAACAGACGGCGCCGATGTCCCTGGCCATGATTTTTTCCAACGTCGAGTTAAGTCGGACGTGTCCCCCTACAGGAGGATTTTCGACGAAAAATAAAAAACATTAAAAAATACTCCAAAAGTGTCAACACATACTTTCATCTTGTTTTTGTAACTATTTTTGCACATTCCTCCTGTAGAGGGACAGGCCCGACTTAAACGTAGAGGTCGATGTTCTCAAGGCGTGAGATGTCGGGGGACGGGGCTGAGTCGTGCAAAGACAGAATGTCGTGCCAAATGGCGGCTGCCAGACTGGAGCCATTGACACCGTCTCTCTGTTGCATGTTTCGCGTCGGATCGCTACGTGCAGGTACTGGGCCCAACCATCGAGGCGAAACTGCCAGTCCTGGTTTGACAAGACAAAAGAGATTGAGGGGAGCCATGGCTGCGACTGAATGGGTGACTCTGTCGATGCTCTCCCTCACTGAACGCAAAAATTTGGCACACACACGAACATTCACTTTTCCTCCGGCGCACCGATGGGATTCACAAAAAAGGACAGCATACGTCCAGCACGAATTTGACCGTGGAGCCGAGACTACTCGGCCGCTGAGCAGGAGTCGCTCCGAGGGGCGCAGGACGGAAAGGCATTGAAACAGGTACACAGGCACACTCGGAGGTGGAGAGAAGGAGCAGGTGCAGGCGAGGAGTTTTTCCTCCTCCTCCTCCTCCTCCTCCTCCTCCTCCTCCTCCTTCTCCTTTCTCCTTTCTCCTCCTTCCTCCTCCTTTCTCCTCCTCCCCCTCCTCCTCCTTCTCCTTGTCCTCCTCCTCCTCCTCCTCCTCCTCCTCCTCCTCCTCCTCCTCCTCCTCCTCCTCCTCCCCCTCCTCCTCCTCCTCCTCCTCCTCCTCTCCCTCCTCCTCTTTCACGTTTCTCCCTCCTCCTCCTCCACCTCCACCTCCTCCTCCTCCTCCTCCTCCTCCTCCTCCTCCTCCTCCTCCTCCTCCCCCTCCTCCTCTTTCTCCTTTCTCCTCCTCCTCCTCCTCCTCCTCTTCTCCTTCCTCCCCTCTCTCCTCCTCCTCCTCCTCCTCCCTCCTTTCTCCTTTCTCCTCCTCCTCCTCCTCCTCCTCCTCTCCTCCTCCCTCCTCCAACTCCTCCTCCTCCTCCTCCTCCTCCTCCTCCTCCTCCTCCTCCTCCTCCTCCTCCTCCTCCTCCTCCTCCTCCTCCTCTCCCGTCGGTGAAGCCGCGGCGGGGTGTGAGAGCGGGGAGGGGGGGGTGGGCGGAGGAGCAGCCCGAGGGAGGAGAACGGCGGGGGGGGAGGGGGGGGAGCGGGCGTGCCTCTGGGGCAGCACTTGGCGGGCAGAGAGGCGGGGGGCTTCTGGGACGCTGGGCCGGCCACGGGCGCGCCCGCGCGGGGGCACGGTGGCCCAGGCCGAAAGGGAGCACGGGCAGCCACCGGCGGCGGCCGAGAAGGAAGACACCAGGGCTCGGGTGAAACAGACTGTTTCGCTCGAGCCCTGGTGTTTCGGAATCCAGTGGAACCATATGTGAAACAGACTGATTTGCTCGAGTGATACAGACTGTTTCACTCGAGTGAATCAGTCTGTTTCACTCGAATGAAACAGACTGATTCAGTGAATCCATCGTTTCTCTGAATCCCCGACAAAACGAAAACGGAAAACACTGTGTTTTCCTTGTTCGTTTTGTCTTCGTACTCCCCACTCTTGCTTTCGTTCCACGCTTGCTGCACAACGAAGTCAAAACGAAAACGGTCCACGAAATGGCCAAAACACCGTTGAGCTCGAGCCCCAGAAGACACCGACAACGAAGGGGCTCGGCGGCAGAACTTTGGATTGCGACTCTGATGAAGTTCCAGGCTTGACAAGAGGGTGCGGCACTCAACCAACTGCAAACGGAGACTGTGGCATCTAGAGACAACAGCAACAGCGCGCACAAGCAATACGGGTTCCAAGGATATGTGATATTCAAATTGGGGGGGAGTGGATCGGGCCGGAGCCGCGGGAGCGGCAATCAGCGGTAGGATCGGCTACACGCACAGAGTAACCTTGGCCAATCAAGAGTGACCTTTGGTGCGCGGCTTTTGGGGGGCCGCGGGAGGACCAAACACGACCGCGCAAGACGTTACTGCCGCATCGCGCTCGGTTATCGGGGGAACCCCAATGGACCCGCACCAGTGGTCACTCCAGTGAAGAGTCACTCTTATGGGCGATTTCGGAAACCCTAACCCAAAAACGTTTTCATCTCTTGGGGGCGCATCTTTTAATGTCAGCTTGTGAGTAACAAATCCGCGGGGGGCGCGTGTTAAAAAAATGATCCCCCTGCTCGGGCGAATCGCGGAGTGGCGCCCGCCAGATTGGAAATCTACGGGGCGGCGCTGGTGATTAACGCCGACTCCCGGCCGCCAACGAGGGGCAGAGCGCCCCTCTTTCTGTCGAACCGATGCGGTCCTGCGGGCAAGGCGGGCTGGACGAAGTTGGGGCGCAGCAAAGGGGGAATTTGCCAAGCAGCTCACATCGCCGATTTTCTAAGCGCCTCCTGGCGCCGAAAGCGGCCATGCGTCGAGGATTGGCCCTTCGGCGGGGCGACCGGAACCAGCTGCGCGCAGCAGGCTTCCCTCTTTCCTTCCCCAGCCTTTCGTCCGACCCGAACATGGCGGGTCCTCCTCCTCCTCCTCCTCCTCCTCCTCAGCCCTTTCCTCCTCCTCTTCCTCGTCCTCCTCCTTCTCCTCCTTCTCGTCCCTCCCCCTCATCTCTCCTCCTCCCCCCTTGGCGAGCGTGATAAGAAAAAATATCGCGCCCCGCGGGGTCTATTCATCAACACCTGGCGGGGGGGGCTGGCCACTTCTTAATCACAAGCTGGCATTACTTCGCCGACTTCCGCCGGCCTTCCGCCGGCCTTAGGCGGCCTCGCTTCCCTTCCGCCGACCTTCCGCCGCCCTTCCGCCGCCTTCCTCCGAGGAAGAGATGGCAGCTCCTTCGATCCTCGAGGGCGAAGCCTTTGTTATCGGCCCTGCCCGGCCGGCTCAGGCTCCCGACACAAAGTGTGACGTGCTTGCGTCTCGCCCTGGCCTTCGCAGGCTCCCTGGCTCGGGGGCCCGCCCTCCCCCGACTGCACCTCCCAGCGGCCCGCCACCGAGGGCGAGACGCGCCGAGGGGGGGGGCCCTCTCTCGAGGAGGCCACAGAAGACGCACGCGCCCAGCCACAGCACAGTACAGGAATACGGCCCTCCCGTCCGCGAGGCCGGCCGCGCGGGCCGCGCGGTGCGAACGGTCGTGCCACGCGTGCTCTCGCACCCCCTAGCGTGCATTCATGTGCGCGTGCGCTCTTCGTTCGCTCCTGCTCTCTGGACAGCGCGCCACGCCAGGGTGCCCGTCGCGCCAGGGGTGGCCTGTGGTGCACGGCTGCTTTCCGGGAGGGGGTGGGTGTAGGGTCACCCCTTCGGAGGAGGAGGAGGAGGAGGAGGAGGAGGAGCAGCAGCGCTCCAGGCGCCGACGGGAGTGCTGGACGGGCGCTCCCAGGCTTACTCTTCGGCCCAGCACCAGAGGTCACCCCGCTGACGAGGCACCCCTGCGCCTCGCACCCTTTTGCGCAGCGCAGTGCTGGAGGATGTGGAGGCCTGGAGGGGGGGGGGGCCGCGTGAGCACAAGGCGCGGGGGGAGGCAGCCGAGGGAGGGGGAGGAGGTGGCGAGGTGGCTGCCCGTGCCACCGGAAGGCCACCGAGGGCCGCCACCGGGCCCCTGAGATCCGACGTCTTGAAGACCTGCAGCGTCGTGAGAGATCACGGCCGGAGCCCCAAACCCAACCTTTCTGCATCATTTTTCGACCCAAGTAGATCTATGGCGGTCCTGGGGCCCGAAACGAATCGAGGAACGCCGTCTCGCAATACTCAATGCAGACGGCCCTGAGGTCCGACGCCTCGAAAAACTGCAACGCCGGGGAGCAAGCACCGCCCGAGCCCCATGGCCTTCTCTCTCTGCACCACTCTTCGCGCCTGGGCCATCCGTGAGGGGCACGTGGCCCGAAACCGAGCGAAAGCGCCCCGCTCGGGAGAGGCACAAGAGCGCCACGCTTCGGGGATGGACAGACCCCCCCCCCATGTCGCAAAACGTGGTTTTCAGTGCAGGCGGCCTCGGGCCCAAGCCTGGCGGGCGCAGGCCTGGAAGAGGACGGCCGCGGCGCCCCCTCGAGAACCGACAACGGACCATTCACTGATCGACGTGTCAGGGTTAAGTCGGGCCTGTCCCCCTACAGGGGGATTTCCAACGAAAAAGAGAAAATACCAAAGAATAAATAAAACAACAAAAAAGTCGAATAATAGTCTGGGAACTATGTTTTGAATGTTTGTTTGGCCATTTTGGGGGCATTTTTATTTTTTAGTTTTCGTCGAAAATCCCCCTGCAGGGGGACACGCCCGACTTGATGTCAGGCTGGGGATTCTGTCCACCCCCGAGCGATCTCCGGGGCCGCCGCCGAGGGGCGGCGCTGCCGGGCCGCCGCGGGGCCGCGGCCGCCGAGGGGCCGCCGAGGGGCCGCCGCCGAGCCGCCGAGGGGCCGCCGCCGGGCCGCCGAGGGGCGCCGAGGGGCCAGCGGAGGCCGCCGGAGGCCACGGGCACGGCGGGCCCCAGGGCTCGGGCAGGAGGTAAGCAGCGACTGCGAGACTTGACCCCACCTCCTCCTCCTCCTTCCCTCCTCCTCCTCCTGCTTCTCCTCCTCCTCCTCCTCCTCCTCCTCCTCCTCCTCCTCCTCCTCCCCCCTCCTCCTCCTCCTCCTCCTGCCGACCGACGCGTAGGTAAATCAATCCTGCAGCCGATCCTCTGCCCGAGCCCGTGGCGGGGGGGTGCGGCGGGCGCCTCGGCGGCCGCCCTCCGCGCCCCGCCGCCGCGGCGCCCCGGTGGCCCCAGGCGCCGCCCGCGGCGAGGAGGCCGCAGGCGCCGGCGGCGAGGGGCGCCAGGGCGCGCCACCTGCGGGCCCCGAGAGTCTGGCGCCTCTGAAGGGGCCCTGGGACACACCAATAAATACACACAAATAAAAAGATTCCCGATAGTTTCCTATATTTTTAAGGGTTCCCGTCTTCCCCCCCACGTCTCCCCCCCACACTTCCCCTATTTTCCCATATTTTCGGGGGAATCGAGGATGAATTGTGTCTGTGTGTTTTTTCCTCTCCTGAGTCCCCAGCGTCCGAGACGAAGCCAGGGCGACGCCGACCCAGAAGCCGATTTCGCGCCGCGGACCCCGGATCCTTCGACACCACGGACCCTGACAGCCGCCGAGATGGACTTCTCGATCCGCGGCCGCAGGGACGCCGTCCGCTTCCCACGGGATCCTTCTCTGTCCCAGACCCATTCGTGATGGTCCCTACACGTGGCCGAGGTAGAACGAAGCCAGGAGGAGGATAAGATCGGGTGAGGATACAGCGAGAATCTCTGAGATCCGGAGGCTCTGGAGGATGTCTCGAGCGTCGCGGTAGAGTGTTCCAGAACGCTCCGGGAGCGTGCGGGGACGCTCTGAAACGGATTTGTCCTCGCCCTAGCCGCAGCCCTGTCCGAATTGTCTGCGATCCTGGCGCCTCCTTTCTTCTGGGGTTGCTAGACGTGCCCCTGGCCCGAGGTGCCCCTGGGATTTCCCAGGATGCCCCCACGACCTCCAGATCACCCCTCACGAGGCTCAGAGGGCCCAGGGGCTCCACAGGGGGCCAGAGGGGAGCGAACAGCTGGGGGCACCTCGGGCCAGGGTCACCTTCAGCAGCCCCCCCCCCGAATTGTTCCGGCCCCCGGGACCTTCACAGATCGATCTTGCTCGAAACACGATGCAGAGGGTGGGCTCACAGGGCTCCAGCCATGACGTCTCAATTCGGCCTGCAACCATAGCTGCACCATTCGAACCGTAAATATTTTACGAGAGATGCGCGTTTCCTCCATGGAGTTCGAGCTCTAGGAGATAAGATCACAACCATGAAATCACGCAAGAGAGAAGTGCGCCGCCCTTCGAAAGGGCGACCCCGCACTCCGCAGCCAGGGCACCAACGTTCTGCTCCTGGAGACGGGGGGAGGAGTACAGTCGGGGCGTTGACCTAAGGAACCCTAAATAAGGAACGAGGCCCCTTTTTTCAATAAGTTAAACTTCGATTTCCCATCGAAAACCTAAGGACAACCTAGGGCAAGCTGCGAAACAATTAAGGAACACGGAGCCCCTCCCCAACGGAAAGGGTTCCTTGTTTAGCGCCCCGACTGGCTTCAGGTCGCCGGACTTCGCGCTCCGCACCGCGCGAAGCGCAGCCATCTTGCGGGTGGCACGGATTGGAGGGGACCTCGCAGGCTTGCGTCAGGCCTGCGCAGTGTCCACAAGAGCAAGGACGCAGCTGAGCACAGGAGGGCGTGCACGCAGCCACGGAGCTGGGACAGGCAGGAGCAAGGTGCGGACGACGCTGCAGGGCCCTGGGGATACCAGAGCATGCACAGCGCGAGCACCAAATCTGCAAGTGGCCGGGGAGCCCCCGCGCCTTGCCCACGAGCGCTGCTCCACCCCAGCGGGTGTGGGCTGGGGACGCGCTGCATGTCAGAGCTCCGTAGCTGCCTGCACGCCCTCCTGTGCTCAGCTGCGCTCTTGCTCTTGTGGACACTGCGCAGGCCTGACGCAAGCTTGAGAGGTCCCTTCCAATATGTGGCAGCCTTCATGCTTTTGGCCCACCAGAAGCTTGCCGTCGCTCGGACGTCCATTTCCCGTGCGTTTTTCGGTTTCGTGCGTGCATTTGCTGCTCGATGGTCCAGGATGTTCCTCGAAGGGTCTCGCCGAGAAAAAATGCACACGCCCGAGCGATGCCAAGGAAGGAACAGTCAGGGAGGGGAGGCAGAGAGGGGGGAGGGGGTTAGGGAGGGCGCGAAGCAGCTCCCACACCTCCCGTGGCACAAACGTTTCGCACGGGCGCGGGCCCCCGGACTCTTCTTGGCCCCCATCCAGCCTGTCATCCCGAATCGGTTTCTGCGAAGGGGCCCCCAGGACACATAGATAAATACACACAAATAAAAACATTCCCCATATGTGTTCCTAGATGTTTGGGGTTTGTGTCTTCCCCCCCCACTTGCCATATTTTTCCTATTTTCAAGAGAATCGGCGATTCATTGTGTCTGTGTGTTTTTCCCCTCCTGATTCTGACAGACCTGAGGCTCGAATTAAGCCTCTAGACGCTGAAACCTGACAAAAACGCCCGACGTGGTTTGCCCGATGCGCCGGAGATCTGCTTCGTGCCTCAGATTCGACCCTCGGACCTCTATCGGGTGCGTCCTGGCCAGCATTCCGAAGGCACAGCAACGTTGGCCACGAGAGCGCGCCCAGACGCCCTCAAAAACGTTCAGAACCGTCGGCTCGCCGCACCGATCCTCGCTCCTCCTGTAGGGGACTGGGGGAGGGGAACATCGACCTGGAATCGGCGATAGGCTCTCGATAACAGAACGGCGCCTTCTTTCCTGGGCGGCCCCTATCAGTGATGACTGGGCGATTGGGGGTCGATTTGTTCCCCTCTGGGCCTAGCGCAGCCCTCTCCCCACCCCGTTCGACGCATGGTGGTTTTGTGGCCAAAACTCCTGGCGGCCGTTCGGGACAATTCCGGCACCCCCAGAACACTCTCGGCGAGGTACAACTGCTGGGGAGTTCCCCGAGGCTGGAAAACCTGGGATAAACAACGGATGCACCAGAGAGCCCTTCCCAGGCGTGCGATGTTTGCTGGTTTCCAGGCGTGGACCCCGGCAGGTCTCAGGCCAGGATCCCTTCTTTTTGGTCCAGCGCTTCCTCCCGAGTCTGTCCGCTGGCGGCGCCACCGCCTCGAGAAGCCTAGAAAAACAGCAACAGAAATCGCCCGCTACGTTGTTTTCGCGCCGCGAGAAGGTCCAATCCAATCTTCCCTTCCGCGCCTTTCGCCCAGCGCATTCCTGGCCCGGTCTCTCGCCGAGCGGCTGTCGGGGCTCTCCTCTGAGGTTGAGCGGCAGCGATCGGGGGGGGGACTGGCAGGAGGAGGAGGCGGAGGAGGAGGAAGGAGTGAGGAGGAGGAGGAGGAGGAGGAGGAGGAGGAGGAAGAGGAG